GCCAGGCCTCATTACTGTGCAGTAGAGAACATCTGTCTGTTGTTTAATTTCTTGCATAGTGTTTGCTGATATTGTATATGTTCAGGGAAATAGAAACATACAGTGAATAAAAAAATAAACTTTGTTGGTCTGTATCTTTACCCACTTTGCTTGGCGATGATTTGGTGCACTGGATTGATGGGAAACCACAGGGAGCTACAGGCGGGCTGAGACACTGACCACAGGCACCCCGATCCAGACTCAGTGACAGACCTTGTGGTGACATCTGCTTTTACTCAGGAAGAGCACTTCAGCACTTAATAAAGCATGTAATCACACTGTTGTAACTTGGGAGCAGACAAAGCAATGCAGGCACACAGTGAACCCTTCATATACTGACTATTTCCTTTTTCAGAAATGTCTGTTTCTTCTTATCTGATTTTATTATTATCTGATCAGCTATTTTACATTAAGACCCAAATGAAGACAAACAGCTACTTAAAGCCTCCTTGATTGATTACAGGTCTTTACTGCGCGACTTTGAAAGCCATTTACAACAAAATACTACTGTAAAGCCTTTTTTCTTTCATACACCTGCATGCAATTTTCTACATGTAAGTGGACAGGAAAAGGCAAGGAGTTGTAGTTAACATTTTTAATCCCGATGTAATTTAGGAGGGTGAAAGCTGCATGTCACAACTAACAAAAGGGGGTTTGTGGGATTCATGACAGCTGGGTTGCAGTTCTTCTTCTTGTTATCATCCAACAGGACATGCTGATGAGGCAGACAGACCATGCCACATTGCTGAAATATTTTTGCCATGGAAAGATTAAAAAAGAAAAAAATCTCCCAGGTTGTCTCTCAGGTTTTGCACGGACAAAATGTTAAGGCTGCACCAGCTTCGCAGTGCACAGGCAGGCTAAACTGAAACTCACTTTGAGTGTGTTCCTTGCATCTCTTCTCATATTTCAGCTAAACTGCCTCCTCGCCAGGGCCAAGGAATGCATCAAGCGCCATAAATCAGGGGCTTGATAGGAACTTGGCGGCCGGACAGCAGTGCAGAGAGCTGTGTTATGTAGCCACAGTACAGTAAAGATGTTTTAAGGTGAACATTACCATCTTGGAGGAAGAGAAAAACGAGGGGGAGGATACTTTGATTCAGGGGAGTTTTGTCCAAATGACAGAGCAATGAAAGCCCTTCTCACCTCCTTCAGGCCTTTGCTTTCCTTAACTTGTGAATCACTATGATCACCAGCAGGGATACAGGCCTCAGACCCCAGTCTGGCGCTGCTTTTAATTTTATTTGTACTGTATGGTTTGGACTCAGGAATCAGGTCACTTATGGTTTAAAGTGTGCGCAGGTGGGTTTGAGCTCTATCTTGCGTCTCTTTCTTGTCATGGCGAGAAAGAGGGAAAGAGTTCATGGAAAAGAGGCAGCCGGCGCTGTGTGTGCCAGGTTTGTTTGTCACATCTCCGCCTGTCTGCGCCTTATGCAAATGGGCAGGGGGCTGGGAGGGACGGCTCCATGGGAAACTGCTGGTGCTAATCCAGCATGTTGAACAGGGGAGGAGAGGAGTACTTTTCAATAAAGCACCCCCACCCCCCTGTCAAGTCATACACACACAAACACACACATGTACACACACACACACGCACACACACATGAACAGCGTGTTCTCATCCCATGTGCGTGTGTGCCTTCGAACAAACATCACAGTGACGACACAAAGACGCACACATGAGTTCGCTTCCTCTCTCGCTCTCTCTCTCTCTCTCACACACACACACACACAAACGCTGAACACCTGTTTCTTTTCTGCGCATCCAAACAGACATGCTTTAATATGTGAACAAATCCCACGATCTTAAGACCCACTCTCAATCCGCTGGGTGTAATACCAGGGTGCTTTCAATGAGATAACAACAACCCCTCAGTGTGATCGGCCTGTACTACCACCTAAAGATAGACTAATAACACGGTCCAGCCACAGTCCATGACTTAGACTATGAAATTTATGCAAATGTGTGTGGGAATACACAGAGCTGAGAGTACTATTTAGGACTAGTGCATTTTCAGACAGCCCTCTTTTATTCCCCAAGCTCTCCTCAACTACATTTTTGTAAACTGACGCAGGCCGTTGTCTGAGATCTTGATGTTCTTGATGTTCTTCATCGAAAGAGATAGGCTTTTATAAAATTTCTTGCCGATTGAATAACTCTAAATATTTTTTAGTGAAGCACAACTTACCGTCATAAATGTTATAAATTAGTGAAAAAAATGGTGTGACATTTTGGGAAAAATGTTTGTTCCCTTTTTTTTGCGGAGAATTAGATGAGAAGATTGATACCACTCTCATATTTGTCTTTTAAATATGACATTAGGAGAGGGTAAGATTAGTTTAGCATAAAGACTGGAACCAGGGGGAAACATAAATGTTAACATATATATTTAATTATTGATCTTTAGAGGTGGCCGTCTTTAGTCAGAGCCGTGTTTCCCCGTTTCCAGTCTCTATGCTAAGCTAAGCTAACAGTCTGCTGGCTGTAGCTTCATATTTGGCATACATACCTCAACGACATGAGGATGGTATCCATCTTCTCATCTAAGTCTCGGCAAGAAGGGGAACAATTTGGTATTTTCCAAAATTTTCAATAATTCCTTTAAGTGCCCTTTAATCATCCCTTTTGGATTTATTTGGAAAGAGACAGATTTGATCTATTTCAAGTTAATGTTTTGTTTCCTTTTTGTATTGAAATCATGAGCTTCATTGTCTGCACCAAACACTAACAATATAAATCCTTGCCTTGGTCATAAACCAATAACAAATCTGCACAAATTCTGTCTTAATGACTTCCTGCTAGATAAAGTGCACTACACTCGGACTTTGATGCCAAAAGATGAAAGGATCAGATTAATTCATTACCTGATTCCAACAGCACACAAGATGAATATTATATCCCTCCAATAAAACTTAGGGATGTGACAGAGTTCTTTGTGCTGGCATTGGCTCGTGTCCAACAGCCCAGTCCAGCCTCTGCACTCACAGGGTTGTGTGAGAGTACTCGCTGTGCTCTCCCCCTCTCCATCCTCTCTTTGGTACACAGTCAGATGCACGTCGGAGAACCGCAAGGCGCCGTTACCTCTCCTGGATCCATGCGGGTGGAAGAAGGAGGAAAAAAAAGTGGACAAACACAAAGGCAATCAACAAATCCCCTTTGCTTGAGCCCTGAGAAACATAATAGGGCCAAATCATCATCTATTTAGCTTCGTCAAATCACTGACAGCAGGCCTTGATAAAAGAGAGTGGAAAATATGTAGGGTACAAGACGCTGCCAAGACCCTCACCGACTACAACCTTCTATTGAAGCCAGATGTTGACTCAACTAGCCAATTTTGATAAATGGCATGATGATTACCATTATAGATCGGGTAATTTTATATCAGCGTGCCACATTGTTGGTCCTCTTTAATGATAGCCAAATGAACTCTGGTTTATGCCCGAGGCCAGGTGGGCTTTTCTGTAATTGGTGTGCTGCGTGCAGTGCCTCAACCAGCCATTAGGTGGGCAGGCCCCGCTGCGGACAGGGCACCCTGGTCTCGTGGGCACTGCTATAGGTGCCCGTTGTTTGTCATCAAGTGTCCAGCTGAGCCCTGAGCCCATCACACAGACCTGTAATGAGACTTAATTGGTGCTTTAGCCTGACTTTTGCCTCCTTCAATGTCCTCAATCCCATTAGAAAGGCTTACTAGATCAGAGCTTCATGTACTTGACACAGTGACCCAGATGGATGTTACCTCGCATGACCCTCCGAGGTCCCAGCAGACGGATTCTGCTGTGGTCCAAACACTCTGGTCTGTCTCCCATTCCTCAGGGATTGGGGTATTACAGTAGATTAGCTGGAGTAATACCACGATGGAACACGGGTATGTAGGGTCATGGGATCGCTCCAGGACATGAAAACTAGTGTTTGCTTTCAGGGGAAACTGTCACAGACACACTTCTGAGAATCAACAAAATCCAATTAGTTTAATACTTAACGTCAGATAGCCGTCTTTTCTCTGATTTGGCACTGTCCTTATTCCACCCTTGCAGCAGCTATCCTCGTTTGCTCCTTTAGCCTAGTTTTAGAGACTTTCCTGGGTGAGGTGATCCTTAATGTTATTTTGCACTGTAATACAGATTCCCTTAAGGCACTGTACAAAAGTTATGGGGTTGAATCTTCCCCAAGCATTATTAATATTTTCTTCAACCCCTACTCTTGGCTTACAAAACAACATCTCAGAATAATAAATTACTGGCAAACATAACAACATTGTGAATATTCATAGCCAGACTCTATTTTTGAATAAAGAGCTGCTCAGTAAACCGTCATTCCAGCCACAGAATGAGTTAAATGATCACACATGGCAACACTGTGGCTTCTGATGAGCCACAATATTTTCGCCCACTCATGTATTCCACTTGATAAATATATAAATTAGATCAGATGATGCCTGATATAGTCAAATCAATTACATGATACCAGAGTTGCATGGCCATTTGTGTTGGAATCGTTTCTTTCAGTGAATTTGCCCAGTGTGGGATCAATAAAGTCTATCTTATCTTATTGTCAGGTTCCAACAAGGGCAGTGTTAAATAGGCTGTGTATTTTATTTAATATGTGAAGCACTTCGTAATTGTATGTTTTAAAAAGTGCTATAAAAATTATGACTTATTATTGGTTGATTTATTTTACAATAAAGTGAATTAATCTGGTATGTATCTGACTCCCCTCTCCACACTAATAATTTTCTTGTAGTCCCAAAATTACACAGAATAGTTCACTCCTTTTTGTATTTTCTCGTAATTTCCAGTCAACTGGCTTGAATACAGAAATGTGGCAGTTCACATATTCATCACATTGACTGAATCTGATGTCAGACCTCAAACAGGAACTTTTATATTTAGGTCTCCAATTGCAATCATTCAAATTCAAACATAAAAAGAAATAAACACAAGAAAGAGCAATAACATAAAAGTCATTTTTGTAGCATAGCTCATTTTATTGTTTAAACAGTTTTGCATAGGAAATATATCCACTTCCAGTAATTGACTGCAGTAAAAACAGCTGCTAGCAGTATAGGCTGGATATAACAGTAACAATCACAAAAAGTTGAGCCTTTATTTACACTGATTTTAATCTTGTGGCAATTTTAGCCCCTGCACCAAATGTAACCAGCTTGAAGGCATCGCCTAATGCTCGGCGTTTCTAAAATCAATAAAAGAAGGGATATCAAGGCCTTCGCTATACAGTTCACAATGGACACCTGTGGCTCCTAAACTGTCAATGAAAAGATAAAAAACAAAAAAGGTTTCCAAAAAGTCCTCTAAAACGTACATTCAGATACATACATAGACCTTTGCACACACTTGCAGTGTAACTACGATCACTACTGGAGACTGTTACATATTGTTTTGTTGGTGTTGTTGTTGTTGTTCATTATATATAATTCCACCATGATTCATCAAGTAGAAATGTGTGCGCAGAGGGAAGTAAAAGTGCCACAAGACCCAAAAATAAATCAGCCCTGCAGAGAAAAATGACTAATCTTAAGAAAAGACATTATTTCATCCTTTCACTGCGCTTAATGTAGCACTGACCCCCCCGCCGCCCCGCTCCCCATCCCCGAAAAAAAAGAAAAAAAAAAAAAGTAAAAAGAAGAGTGAACATTTCCTCTCAAATTTTGAACAAGCTTGATGTGGGCATTGTGTGCTGACATAATTTGAAAATTATTAGATCACCAAAAAAAAAAAAAACAAAGCTCCAAAAACATCAAAGAAGCATATTTCCAGATGAGTTAGCCACATTCTGTTCGGTGTGATGGTGTTTTTCTTGTCACATATGAAAGTAAGTCTATCACATTTTACAATTATATACAACAGACACTTGGACAGCTTGAACAGGCACTGCATTGCTATCTTTTTGTCTTCTTTTGGTGAATGTTACATCCTGTAAAAATGCTGGTTTTCATGTTTCATAACAACCTGATGCCAAGTGACTAGCAGCTAGCCAACATATGGAAGGTGTGTATTGCTCATGTAGGATGAAAATGAAGTTTTAATGTTTCCTCTAAGTCTGCATGTATACTCCCTCTCTGTCCCTACAGAATGCGTGACATTCAGTTAAAAGGGAAATCACACATATTGCATGAGTGCCACAGGTCCTCCTTGCATAAAGTTGTCCTGTTTCTCGATGATGATCAGTGACATAATACTTTCTAAAATAAGGTTGTTGTGAATGTCAAAATCTGCCTTGAATACGGCTCTTGAAGCTGCTGATGGGTGGAACACTGATTAAAATTTCATAAAGTTTCAAGAGCTTTTTGACAGGCTACGTTCACACCCAGCGTAGCAACAGAAATACGTAACCATGCCCAAATACACTACCTATTATCAGCTGGAAGGTACAGTACCCTATTCTGAAGCACCTGCGATTAATTTAATGTTTGTTTGTAGTGTAAATGAAGGGTTTACTACATCACATCAGGCATAGACAGCATGTGGAATGTGCAAAATGAGTGATGCCTCGATGCTGTTACTGATATTTAAAGAGATTTTTTAGAGTGTCGTCTGCATATGAACCAAGTAGGCGGCTCAACATTGGCCACCCGATTCTGAACTACGTCGAAATGTAGCACCAATTGCCTTGCAACATTTCCTTTAAAAAGAAATTTAAAAAAAGAAACTATCTGATAGATTCATTGAGGACGTTTCACTGCAGATTCTACCCTGCTTCTCGCTTAAGGTCAGGTGCAATCTGGGGCCTTTTCTACTGGTTAAGTGACATCACCTCCCAGCTGCTACAAGGAACACACTCACACCACGATCTTGTTGGACAAGAATTCACACCCATTTCAAAAAAAAAAAAAAGAGATAAATCACATCACACTCACTATGGCCACACTAATGAAAGAACAACAATTCAAATATTCATGAAGTGTTTCCCAAATGCAAATATCTAAGCACTAACCAAGAACAGAAATAATAATATTAATAATTAAAAAAAAGCCTTCATTGTTGTTGTTTTTTATATTTATGGATCTGTATAGACTATTTCCTCCCATTTTTTGACTTTACATACAGGAATACAACAACTGATGAAAACACTTTAGATTCTACTAATCGGGGGAACCTGGAGAGTTCTAACTCAAATCCAGCCTCCGAAACAAATAAACAAAAACCCAAATTGAATTAGCTTTTTTTTCCCTAAAATGGAATTGACTTATTTTTCCCCAGAATTGAAGATTTACAAATAAGGGCTTAAGAGAAGAACTCTCGAGAAAGTTTACAGTGTACAAACTCCTGTCCTACGGCAGGCTTTTTTCAATAGAAAGACCCTCATCTTCTCTCACTGTGTAGTGTCAGAGGCACTCGATCACACGTCCAGCTCACAAAGTCACACACGCGCGCATGCACACGAACAACCAAGCTGCCAAAGCAGAGTTCAACCCCACAGACTACTGCTATCGACGCAATCAGGATATTTACCTTTATGTACACTCTCCTATTCAAATAAACACCAACAGCACAGTGACCCTGACACATTTTTATCACACACACACACACACACACACACACACACACACACACACACACACACACACACACTCACAAACACACCTGGGGACAATGCACTTCAGTGGGGTCTCCAATGGCCAAAGGCTGCAAAGCACTTATAGTTTTTCTTTTAAAAGAAAAAAAAAAAGAATAAAACAACAAAAAAAGACAGAACAGTGCACATAGAACGGGGTGACTTTTTCATTTTTTTCTGCATAAGAAATCTGGGTGAAGACGGAGAGATTGAGCTTGACTTGAGGATTATTTTTTTCCAAAAAAAAAAACATTCTGCTTCTTAGGCCCTCTGCTTAACGCCGGAGAGCTCCTGCTAGTACCGTCTCTCCGAGGGAAACATTTCTTTCACGATTGTAGGGAAAGAGTGCAAAAGGTGTCATAGCAGCAATGGAGGCGCTGCTCTCTCTGTGAGAAAAGTTATTTATTTATTTTTTTACGTTAAAAATGGTAAGAGAGTGATTGATATAAATAATGCCCTGTAATACGCCTGAGAGATTTAGTTTAAGACTAGGTTCAAAACACTGTATGGGGGAGAAGACGATTGCCTATGTGCTATTTAAGTGCTATATTTTTCTTCTACTGGATTCTATTTAAGCTTCTACTGGGCCACTGGACTGGAGAACACCATGCTTCTGCGGTCCAGTATTTATTTCAACATTCTCTACGGGGCTCTGCTAGGGAAGTGTCTCAGGAATTGACATATGTGCATATCGTATATACATTTATACAAATCTACTACTTATAAAATACTTTCTAAAGGCTTGCTTGAGCCTGTCTGCAACTGATTTGGACAGGTCTCACTAGCATTAGTTGGTGTGTGATTGTTGCGCAGGTCACAGGCCACTTCACTGATGTGTTTAAGGCATCTACTTGGGAATTGCATTCGGTGACGTCTAGAATAGTACGGCGTAGTATTCAACAAAAGCCTGCAACGCTTTCCATCTTCAGTTGCAGCTTTAAGGGATCTACGACAGAATGGGATTCTACGTAAAATGATTTTTTTAAATGATTGTCATACTCAAGTCAAGCCGTCTCTCCTGTGAAAAATGAGCTCCTTCAAGGTCACATGCTAGCACCCCAGGTGGAAAGTTGAAAGTAAGAGTCACAGTAGACCAATCAGTGACTTTGCAGCCGTAGTAAGACCAAGGGTGCATTTTTTTATAAGTACTTCTAGAAAAATACCGCCCCTCCCCCTAAAACTCCCGAATTCAAAATACACTGGAACACGTCTCACCATAATTCGGTAGGCCTATATGCTAAAGAAAGAAAAAAAAAAGACCTTGTCATACACTGCATAGAAAGCAGTCCCCACTTTGGTCAATAAAAAAGGAAAACACCCACAACAACAACAACATCATCAACAACAACAACGACAAACAACGATATCAACAAAATAAATGCATTACAATATTGTCTATCTCCAAACTAGCCTCTAATAATTGACGCATCTATAAGCACTACCTACATAGGCAAAACTTGGTATTGCATAATTTTCATAATTCTGAATTCCACCCTCCACAATAGTAACTGGAAGATGAAGAAAATGAGCATTGAAAAATAAGGAAAACAAAAGATGACAGGTTATTAGAAAAACCACCAAAATACTGAAAAAAAAAAAAGGAAAAAAAAATGCTGGTTGATTACAAACTTTAAAACGGCAACTATACACAGCCTTGATATGCAATGTAACTGTGAGATAGAGTAGTACATGAAGTTAAAAATCAACAATTTCATTCAGAGTACAAAACAATTCTTATCATAAAAATGTTAATTTTTTTCTATAATGATAAATGCAGCAAAAACAAGTGTAGTGATGTCTCTATATTCAAAGGCAAGGCACGTAATGTGGACTATATGTCATCGTGCAAATTAAGAGTATTGGAGAGATTTTCCTTGTATAAATATGTCTGGACTAGAGAGGCAATGGCTGTGAACATGCCGTGCACAATTCTAGATTTCAGGGACCTGCCACCACCTGGATTCATAATTTCAGTTTTCAACCTCTTCCACTGTAGAGTTAACCTTGCACAAACTAGCTTTACACATAAGCCTACTGTACATTTGCATGAATTGTACATTTCCATGAATTAACACTTTGCATTCCATATTTTTTTTTGTAAACATAAGCTTTAGAAGCTGATGGCCAAATGCATATGCTCTCGATCTTACAAAATGAAAGAAATTCCATTTTTACACACTATGTGTGTCTCATTTCTATGCTTATGTTCGGTTATTTTTTTTCTCCAAAATAAATAACAAAAAACTCCCCATAATGATGGGAAGGGCTCAAAAGAAGTGCTGGTTTTGCTCAGCGCTGCACAGTTAGCTTAGTGCTTGCCTTCAACTGCCTTTCAAGCTTGATGTTTTTTTTATGTGAGGAGACGGATATGTGACTGAAATCAAATTCAAATGTTTTCTTAAACATTTTACCCATAAAACCATTTAATATTTATCCCCCTTCCTTTAGAGTCTTAGGGCTGACAGACTGATAGCTTCCCTTCAAAAATTCAATTGCACTTGCCTCTATCGAGATTTTCTTATTCTCCGTCTTTTTTTTAATATCCTTTTGTAAAGGAGTTGCAAATTCTTTAATGAGGGGTCCAATCTCAAGCCTAACATTTAGTGTTTTTTGAAAACCGCATCAAGAGTTCTCAACTCTTCCCGTAAGTGTTCACGTTAATTCTTGAAGTAAGTAGCAGTAAAGAATAAGCAAAGTCAACACATTTTCTGAACAAAGAGTCGTATCACAGTAAACTGAAATCAAACGGAAGAAGAAACACTCTGAATTCACAATTTTTTTTTGTTCCTATGGTGTACACAGTGAATCGTTTGACGTGGGAAAGCCTCTTTTCAAGAGGTCTGAGTCGGAGAGCTTCGAGTCTCAGAGCCATCCACCAGGCAGAGGTTGTTGATACGCAGACCTCTTCACTTGTGTGTGTGTGTGTGTGTGTGTGTGTGTGTGTGTAAATCAAGATTTTACATCTTCCCCCAACATGGAAAAATAGTAGGAATTGCCGCTAAGAGACTAGAGTGTCATGCAATAAAACATTAAGGCATCTATACATCACAGTATTTGAATGGATTGAAAAGTTCTGCAAACACAACAACTGACTGGTGGGTGGTGGATGTGTGGGCGAGGAGACAGCAGACCTGAAGCTTTTTCTCTTTTTTCTTTCCTCTGAACCAACCCTCGTCTTCACGGCCAGTGTCCTTCATGGGGAGGGATGGGAGTGGGGAGGGACATGGGAGGGGCGTGACTGGGAGAGGTGGGGACGATTGTGCAGCTCATGCTGCTTTGCTGGTTTCATCCATGGCTGCGGACACCTGTAGTGCTAGCTCTGCACCACCTGCACCCATCCACCCTGGGGGTCTTCCGGCCTCTGTGTGTTCAGTTCCCTGTCTCAGCGGGGACCAGGGGCTCACCAATGATGTTTATGCTGTAGTTCTGGTGGACATTTGTTGGCAGAATCGGAGTCCCGTTCGACACTTGGAATGGAACTAAGCTCGCCCAGGTACCAGGACTGTGGAGAGAAACAAAAAAAGAGACACACATAGAGACGGAGAGATTAGTCACATGCCATTAACTTGTTTGTGCAGCATGCAGTCAAAATCAGATTCTTTCTTTCAATTATCCTGAACACTGCTTTGCTAATGACCGGCATCACTGCTCTGCTGACAGTCATCAAGGTTCAAGGTCTTATTTTTGTTTTGTTCAGACAGAGAGGGGTAAACCAAAAAAAAACTGCATCGCTAGCTCATTAATCTAAGCTGAGGTGAGTCCACTTGATTCCCAGTGAAGGACATCATGTGAGAAGGCTGTGACGCAGGCCCTCTTCTGCATTGATGGCAGTATAGAAAAGCATTAGGGGGAGAGTGTGATTGGTGGTGGAAGTGGAGAGTGGGGGTTGTGGGTAAAAAGTGTGGGGGGGGGGGGTCCCTACACAAAGCTGTCCCATCCCTATTCATCTCACGCTAATGGCAAAACAACACAGTGATTGTTCCTGGGGAGCAACGGTGCTAACTGAAAACGCGAGCGGGAACAAACAGCATGTTGTTCCCGTGGGGTGCTGCGCTACGTAGATGTCAGATAATTAGCTCCCCCCCCCGGCCCCCTTCTCCCCCACAGGCCCCCAGTGTGCACTCATCTAACACCCTCCCACCTCTCACATCACCCCCGCTAAGTCTGAGAATACCTGTAACGCACATTTTCAATCCAATTTGCCACGAACAAACTTTTTTTTTTCCGGCAGATTCATCACAGATCAAGACAGATGAAGAAGAGCAGGAAAGAAGGATGAATGTGGGACAAAGAAAGTGAGGGGAAAATTTTGGAAAATCAGGAGAAATGTTTAGGGAGAAGAGGGGAGATGGATGACAAGGAGGAGAGTTGTTTCCAAAAGAAACAAACAACAGCTAAGACCTGAAGATGCTGGTCTGCTGGTCTGAGGACAGACTTGGTTCTTTGTGAACCTTCACGACTAGACAACATTGTCTGCGCTCATGAAAGCCGCTGATGAACCAGTCTGCATTTTATACAAATCACTAGTCACTACTCTTTTACTTAAAACAATGGAAGTGCAAATTCGATTTGCCGCGTGGCCTGAAAGAGACGGACTCTTCAATGAAGAGTGACAGAGAGAGAGAGAGACGGAGAGGAGAAGATGTATTCAAAATAAAAACAAACTTGCTCAAGTTTTCGAATATGCTTGAGTGTGCAAAGAGTTAAAAACAACCTCAAGGCTAATCCTCTCTAGCAGTTTTTTCCCCCCCTGTCCAACCCGTCCTCATGCTATCCTCTCTCTCCTGCTTTCTTCCCTCCCTCCTTCTCTCTTTCACCCTGCCAAAAATCATCGGACAGGAAAGGGGGGATTAAGTTTTTCCTACCTTGCTGAACAAAGAGCGCACAGAGTGGCCGAGGGCTGCAGCTTTCCTTTTTTCACGTTATTTCTTTCTTTCTTTCTGTCCTCCTCCCTCTCTCCTTCCATCGCTCTGTGTTTCTCTTTCCTTATGAAACTCCTCTCAGGTAATGGCTTACATTAGGGGGACCACACAGCTACAAAAGCGGACTTGCGGGCCTTTGTGCGCACTAAACCGACAGATCGGTTTTAATCTTGTTAAAATCGATGGCTGTCAGTCCGTATCTGCATCCCATAACCTGAAGCCGCACTGGGCAGGATTTTTTATGTAAAGAACTCCTCTAGTATCAGGCTGAATCACAAAGCGTTGGGGGGCTGAAATCCTCCCATCATGGCTAACTGAGACTTGCAGGTTTGGCCTTATTAGTATGACTGAACTTTGAATACAAACTGTCCTAAAAAGCAGCAGGGGAGGTCTCCATCCAAAGAAAGGCATGCTATTAAAACATCTGGTATGATGCAATCACATACAGGCCATGCTGGAAATGCAGTTTTTTGATTCCACATTACAGGTATTCTTAGTATGGTTCTAATTCGTCAAGCAGTTCCCTTTCACTGCAATCTAGACCCGTTAAAATGCCTGTTTCTTTATATTTGTCTCCAAACAAGTTGTCACTTCATGTTTCTGAACTCCAAGCAGCTCTGGAGAAAAAAAGAAAAAAATCTGACCTCCATTGCCGTTTTTCCTTAGATAACCTTCAAGATGGCCTCCCCTTGCCCTGTCCAAGCTCCCAAACCTCACTAATTCTACTCCCTGCAAGCACAGCCCGGGCATACAGCGTGCTTCGTTTAAGGATTAGCTCCCTAAATTAGATTATCTAATGGCATCTTAATGGATTGCTGACCCATTTCCTGCACAATGGCAACATGCGAGTCTGGCAGCGTTTTAATTTGGGGGCTAGTACTGAAGAGGCATTGCGGAGCTCACTGTTTAAAGGGCAAGCAAGATAAAAGAGGAATCCGACTGATTCCATCTATACGTTGAACGGTTTTGCATGAATAATCCATCAAAGAGGAGAAAGTAAAATAGAATTACCATCCCATCTTTGTAACAAAATTAACTAGATCTAGTTGGGATCTATTTTATCTGTGCTCATTACTGTACACTCACATGGAGGGAAAAGGAGGAGTTAGCTGGTGTGTGAGTAAAATAAGAGACCTCTAGCTGCTGCGGGGGACATTTTTCTCTGCTACCTCCACTGGCCTATTAGGAGGCCTATTGAAGGGGGTTCTGCTGTGTGCATATGCGTTTGTAAAAAAAAGTTTGTAACTTCAGCGGGTGCAAAATGAGCCATACACACACACACACACACACACACACACACACACACACACACACACACACACACACACACAGATGCTCTACACTTCCAGGGAAAAGGGGAAAAGGGAGACGTAACAGGAAAGGGCTTAGCTCAGCTTGCTCGCTCTGCCATGGTGAAATGGTTCAGGTTTTCCTCCCAGAGAGGGAGACATACAGCATGGAGGCAGGGGGAGGGTTAAGGGGGGGGCAGAGGGGGGACTTTCTGTAACTTTAAGTTAAAGAGAGTAAAGCATGACTTCAGCATAAAGTCAAACAAAGCTAAGCTTGTTAAAATGTGGAAAGCAAAACATCCTCACATGGCTGAAAAGCTGACCTGGAATGACTTCTTTTATTCTCCGTGGTTTGTTCTAATTAGCTTCATCAAGGTTTGTGTTATGAAATGAGAATATTTTGTTTTTGTTGGGTGTGAATCCAAGAGGAAAGCAATGTTTGACTCATTGTGCAATATTTGTCATCTTTCAGCGAAGAATAACAAAGCAGTGAAATATAATCATGACAAATTTGACAAAAATAAACTTCTAATATTTGTTGCTTTCAAAAAATAAAACAAAAAATAGAAAGTTTCTACTTTCCAAAGGCTGGGATTTTGTTTATTTTATGGTGCATTTTTAAAAAGCTCTTGAAGATCTATTCTGGAAAAAAAAACTGTAACAGGGACGTAGAGACAAACCAATCCCACAATATAGCTCCACCAAATCAAATTCTCTCTGAAGGTCTAAATTTGAACTTCTGACAAAGTAAAAACACTATGAATTACTGGGAAAGGTGGAAAATAATGCAAGAGTGAAAAATAGTTGAAGGAGCAGAAAGATGGGAAAAGAAAACACGACAAGGAAATTTCTCATCTCATCTCAGAGAGCCACAGTCCAGATATATTCCATTTATATATGACTTTATATGTGAAATCTAAACTGTAAAGAGTAAGAAAATCAGGACAATCATTTATTATATGCTGTTATTAGTTTAAGTTTGTGTGTGTGAGTGTTTGTGTGGTGTAAGAGAGACAGAGAGACGGCATGAAAGAATGAAAAGGTTACCTTTGCCAAGTAATCCCAAAAGTGTCGTCAGTGGCACTGGGGCCATAATGCCTGCCGTTTTGAGTCACGCTCCAGTCACACTTCCTCTGTCAATTGAAACCTAGCAGTCAGATCACTGGGCCAAGACAACTTCCACTTCAGATTACACTACAACTCAACACTGTATACACAAATGCATGCAGAAGGGCCTAAAGCAGGAGCAGCAGTCATAAAAAAAACGACTCCAAAATGAGTCCTAACTGTTACTGACAATGTAAAAATAGCTAATGGAATCAGTATATTCATTATTTGTTGGGGAAAATAACAGTAAAATCAAAGCTAGGGATAAAACAGACATAAAGAAAAGGCATGCAATCACAGTTAGTGGTAACAGCTAACCTGGAAGTAAAAAAAATGGAGTTAGTTAGTTACAAATGTGAGTGGCATCATATTGGTAGTTCATCTGTGAGTGGTTTTCAAGCCGGCTAGCCGATGAAGCCATGCAATCCACTGGATGCATGCACCCTGGCGATAATCATTGCTTCACTGTAAGTGCACTTTAAGATTCAGGAAGGAGTACGCATGCCCTCAAGCATGCAGACTTTTTTTTCATTAGCTAACTGTTTTTATTGATTAGGGGTCAAAATTGTACAATGAAGTTAAACAGCACACACGCGCGCACACACACACATACACACACATGCACGCGCACATTAACCCCCTTCCCCCCCCCTCTTAAGACATGCCAACCTTACATACAGATTACAAATTACTGCAACAAAAAAGCCACACACAAACCGTGTCTCCTTTGCATGCATTATGCGAGCACACGTGTCGGCAATCCAGCTGAGAGCTATCTCTGCCAATACCAACCTAACCTTGCCCTGTGGTCAACACATTCATTTAGTAATGCATCGGGATAAAACTGCACTGTTAGCACTCTGCGTGCAGTGGCAGACGTTTTTGCAGAGGCTCTTAAGAGGGATTTAATCAGATATACGCATACGCTGAATATTCAAAGCCATTTGCGGAGGTTGAGAAATGTGTTCTTTCTCCTCCGAGCACCTGGATGAACACATCAGGAGACGATGATGGTTTCCTACTTAAGCCATACTTAAATACAGTGATGTGTTTTTGTTATGTTCCTTGTTTTTTTTTCTGGAACAAATGTAAAGTGCTGGCAAGAAACAGAGAATTTTAGGAGTTAATGTCAAAAAGCCTTTCAATGGTGCAATGACCCTCCAATATGTTACAATTTCATACACTGGTTTCACTTGATCAAAAGCTGCTTAATACAAGTGAATAGGAAACAATACATCTTGTTCCATCCAGATTGTTTTCTCTGTATTTATCGAAGGTTGGGAGACTAAACCCCCGCGCCGCTCCCGCGCTCTCCAGCCTGACAAAAGCTTGGGGAGAATGTGCGGGCTGGGCCAGACGCTCGGTGCCACCACTCCTCGAGGGGCTTGCCATCTGTCCGCTGGCACCGGCACATCAGAGTGGCACGGGCAGCGGGGAAAAGGGGGACGGAGCCGGTGAACGTTAGCAAACAGATGCGGGCAGATTGTGGATTAGGATCCTTCCTTAGATAATACCAAATGACATCTGATCACGGATCTTTCCCTGCGGAATGCTAGATGGTGGCGTTCCCTTGAGGGGTTAACCAAGGCGAGAGATGAATGGAGGGTTTTCACACATTTGCTGCCTGGGAATCGTAGAGCAGGTGTGGTGGTGTTGTTTTGTTTTATTTAAGGTTTTTTTCATTTTTGAAGCCTGCTGTGTGTGTGTGTGTGTGTGTGTGTGTGTGTGTGTGTGTGTGTGGAGAGAGAGAGAGAGAGAGAGAGAGAGAGAGTGAGTGTGTATGTGTGTGTGTGTGTGTGTTAGTGTATGTATCCGGGGACTTCTATTTTAGTGGTGCCACATTTTAAAATAGGCACTCTGAAAAGTAGGTTGTTTTAAGCTTCACCACCAAGTTATCAGATGACTATTAAGTTATTTCATAGTAATGAAATAATGTCATTATCATTCATAGTTTGAAATTAACGCTGTAACAGCAGTTTCAACAAGGATCAGTAGATCTGTGTATGTGTATATTATTAAAACAGTGATTCCAACATTCCAAAAATTGTATTCCTTTCTGACTCTTCTGTTTTTCCTCAAAAAGAAAAAAAATTCAAAGTAGCTCTGACAGCAGCAGAAGCAGATGCGGTCCACGTCATGGCTTCTGTCCATCATACAGACAGACAGACAAAGAACAGTGCATCTCCATGATCCAGCTGCAACACTGAGCACGTTTAAAAATCTTCTAGACATACGTATGTGACGTGCTGCCCTTTCCTACCAAGCCTAGCGACAAACAGCTGCAACTAAACAACTAGAAGTGTCACCAAGGCTCACGGATCCCACACAATAAACATCCCATCGCCAGATGAGGACAATGACAGAGTATTCGGTGAAAGTGTTTAGTCCTGATGGACTTGGCTTTGTGTCGTCTCGCTCTGCCAGGCCAGATCCCAGGCCGTTAAATCATACCACAGAAAACAAAAACAACTGTGACAAGCAGAAGCATGATGAATAAATGTGAAGACTGTTTAGAGTTCCCTAAGCCGACAAGACCATTTATTCATCTGGATATAGCATGTAATAACCTTTTAGAAAGGTGTCACTGTTGTGCTTAAAAATCCTCCTGTCTTTTTAATATAACTCTTTCCAAACGGAGTAAGTCTAAACATATCTCAGCTGATGTGTTTGTCTTTGCTAGGCCTAACATAATTTATGCTTTGTCTTCTCAGTGCTGCAGGATCACAAGTATGTTTTAAGATCATTCAAATTTGGATAATTACAAATGATTAAATAAAACAGAATATTTTGATTATATTATCATACTGTATATCTTCAAAGGATATTTATATATCAGGCTGATTTACACTCCAGAACAAAAAGACCTTATAGCCTCTGGGGGCAAAAGCTTTGGACAAAATGCAGTGGCTCATGCAGTTACACTCAGACTGCTGCTGCCTTGTGTAGTCACTTTGTGCCCCACTGAAAGAAGTAGCAGGGCTACAAGAAAATGTGGAAGACAAACTGTGCGACATCAGCCAAGTGAATCCTCCCTCTCCTCCTCCTTCTCCTCCCGAGTGGAATAAAAGCATCCCACGACTGCTGACAAACATTCACATTTTTTGCCTACTCTGATTTTAGGAAAAAATGGGGAGAAAGAAAGGCAGAGAGAGAAAAAGAAAGACTGAAAGAGGAGTGAGGAAACAGAGGCCAGCTTTGTCATTTTTACTAAACATAAAAAAAAGGCAAGCTGAGGAGAAACCCAGCGATCATTATGTAGCCGCGTGCAGATGCATTCAATTAGTTGTGGTTGGAAAAGCCTTGGCCTGAGACCAGCGCTTTCAATAAGACGGGGTGGGGGAGAGCACTCTCGCCCGTCCGACAACACCGCAACACTCCTAGCCTCGCAAACACACCCACACACGCACACACAGACACACATGGAGTCACCACATCTGTCCTAGGACCGCTGCTGGGGCAACCGCGTGACGCCAACGCTAAATATTCAGCTTGTGAACCATAAATGAGGGAGTGTACTGATTACATGTGGAGTGTGTGTGTGTGTGGGTGTGTGTGTGTGTGTGTGTGTGTGTGTGTGTGTGTGTGAGTTTCTAAAGTAGTGTGTGAAGGAAATAGAGCTAAGCACATTACACTCTCAAAGTCACCCACATGTCCCATCCATCTTCTGAGCAATGGCCACACAATGACAGTGAATTTCCTGACACTTTCATGTCTTTCTTTAATGTGACCTTAGGAAATAGATGCCTTTTTCTACACTAGACTGTATTATTTAAAAAAACACACACACACTCAAAATAATATCCTCTATGTTCAACAGTACTAAAAATTTAAGAGAAAATGTAATAGCGATGTTGTTATGAGGTTAATTGTACACTGCTTACACAGTGTATTTTTCAAAACATTTTTGCTATATACAATGGATATAACCTCCTCTGATTCAGCTAATGGCCATACTGAGGATATTAAATTTAAGGATCTTTCAAGGGTCCTTAAAAATAATGCATTGATAACACTAAAGCTTTGGTTAAAATGAACATATCAGTAAAAAGAGAACAGCATCACAGCATTTAAGGCAAAAATTGGTGGATTACCACTGTGATATACTATATTTAGCTGTGCTAGGCCTCAATCTTTTTGAGGTCTGAAAAATTATATGTTGATCATTTTTTATGCCAATAGTGACTGCTATGCTTGACCTCAGCCTATGAGTTCTCTGATCTGAACTAGAAGTGCTCTGATCTAACGAGACAGTTTAATGCTTCCTACAAATCAAATTCAGAGTGCGACAGGCTTTTGCAGAGGGCAGGGATTTCACATCTGATGTGCAGGGAGATGGGGGACAGAAAATGAAAGGATAAGAGGAGCAGGTGAGCTGAGTGCTGGAGGGGGAGATCTCACCTGTTGCTGGTGAAGGAAGGCGGGATCTCTCGGGCTCAGGCCTACGAAACGGTTAGCCGTCGGGGTGCCGGGGGCTGAGTAGCCTTGGTAACATGCCATCACAAAAACACAAATACATGCTTGCATTAGAAACAGCAGTTCAGGACTTTTTTTTTGTTTTGGGCCCACTTCCATCCTTCAGTCATTTGGACACTTGGCAATGGGATATTTTTGCTGTAATGTGTTTTATAATTTGAAAGTCTTTTCCTAGATGTTTTACAGATTGCAGATTACACTGTAGATGTTTTAGTTTTGGACTATCAAGTGTAATTTTTGGGCTTATTGGACAGGATAGCTGAAGAGCAACAGGAAAGGGGGGAGAGAGAGAGAGAGAGAGAGAGGGGGGGGGGGATGACATGCAGTAGTTGGACTGGGAGGAAACCCATCGCCACTGCAGCAAGGACTCATTACATGCAAGCAAAGCAAAGATCAACTTAACACAAACTGAAAATCTTGATTTCCAGTCACTTTGCTGCCCTGATGTAGGTGTGTACTCAATGGTGTGTCAGTACACTGTGACATCACTGATGGGCGTGGTTGCAGACCATACTTATGACCACACACAACTATACCCATCACTGATTAAAACAGACTTCAAATTTGAGAAACTGCTATTTAGCCTGGTATTATGTTACTCGTTAAACATTATTCCTTTTATTACCATTTCAAGTTTAGAACCTTAGCGCTCTTACAAAAACAAGAAAAACCTAATATTGGGTCTTGTTATGAGATGTTGAACTGCAGGATGCTGTTTGGTGGATGGTGTGCAGGTGCAGGCGTTGTGGTTATCAGTGCCAGTTGGTATAGACTCACCTTCTGTGGATGTGGTGATGGGCTTAGTGTCGGGCATGGAGAGCGAGACGGGCCGCACAGCGCCGTGGTGTGGGGAGGGAGCCAGAACTGGGGTGAAGTGGCCTGGGACCTTTCCCACCTGACCACTGCTGTTAGGCTGCAGGTGAGGTACAGAGAACAAGAAAATCAATTCAGAACAGAACTTTTTATTTAAGAATGATTAATTTTGTCCAGATTTAAGGGAGGTTCCTGCCAAACATGTGTGGATTGGTTTACTTCATCTCTGGAGTTTATCAGCCTTTGTTTTGGTTTGTTTAGTAAAATGAGAACAGTGGCGAACAACACTAAAAATATCTCAGTGACAACAATATCCAAACTATAAATATTAATATATGCTGGTAACTTATGTTAGACATAAACAAAACAAAACAGGAAAGCTAAATTAAGGCAAAAATCACAATCATGCTTTGATAAAGGTTCTCAGCCAAACATCTGTTTTGTCTGCCACCAAAACCTGTGTGAGGACAGACAAATTATGTTTTGGGACTTATGTTTGCAAGCTCTTGTTCTCTTGTAAATGTGCAGTTGGGCAGATCTCAGTAAAACAATACAAGCATGTAACAAACTACACTTATCCAAAATGGCTAGTATTAAACAAGCTGAATGCCCTGTCCCCGTTCCTGGGGGTGTTAACTCATCTTAACGGCTCTGTTTGGCCTCACAGACCTAAAATCAACAACAAAAGGTGACTGGACCGCTCTCACTCTTACATTTAATGCTACGCGTGAAGAAAAGATTTTAGTACTTTCAGTCGCTTTGTTGTCACAGTTATTACTAAAACTCTGGGGGGCACGAGCAACAATAGATCCTCAGTCCCCGACGATGGATTTCCTACATGATTTTAAACAATGATTTTAATGGCGCTCATAAATGGAATTTAGGAGGACTCGGGCGTGAAAAGACAGAGGGAGCTGCGGAGTGACCTGTTACAATGGTGTGAATGCGCGAGTATAGAAAGCGAGGCAGAGAGACTATATATATATAGAGAAAGAAATAAAGGAAGCTAGTGGGAGCTACTCTTTCAGACGGCTGGAGACTGTCTGGGGCGTTCATTTCAGGGCCGCCCCAAGTTCAAAACTCAAACAGGCCTTTTTGGAAAAGAATTGTGTCCACAGGGTTCCCTCCCATGTGAATAGAATGTTTAATTAGAGTGTAATATAATCTGCGTTAAAGCAAGCATAAAAACATTCTGGCACTCGTCCATGGGATTATAAGCGCTGTGTTATTTGCTGAGCTCACCCCCTCCCTCCTCCTCCTCCATCCTCCCTCCTCTCCCAACTGGTCTTCTAGCGCTCTCTCTTCCCTACTGGATCCCACCTCACTCGTCCCCCCCCCGTTCTCCAGCACCCCAGCAGAGGGCCAGTTAATTCTGCACAAGAGCCGGGCCCCGGCAACGGCAAATATTTACAACCTTTATCATTCCCCGCGGTTTTTCTCTAGAGTAACAGTGCCCCCATGCCCCCCCCCCACTCCCACCTCTCCTCCTCCTCCACCCCCCCAACCCGCTCCCTGCTCTGGAGATGGAGCCGTCTACGAGGCCTTTGTTTACAGTGAGAACAGCGGGGATATAAAACTCACATAAATATCACACTGCTCTCTCATCTATAGAGACGCCTGCTCTCTCTCTCTCTCTGTCTCTCTCTCTCTCCAACACACTGGTCACACTGTGTATCTAGAATGTATAAAAGCTCTACACTATTTGATTTACTACAATGTCTTGATACAGTTTTGTATGTCACGTGTGACTGCAATTGCAATAGTTTGGTTGACTTTTTTATGGGGACATCGGGTTGTTGTTTTTTTAGCACGACTACAAATACATGGCTGGGAATGTACTATAACCCTTGCCATGAGCATTATATCAAACAGAAAATATACGCTTCTCAGTCACATGAAGTGGTCAGCAAAGTTGCGGACCACTTCATGTGACTGAGAAGCGTATATTTTCTGTTTGCGGTTGCCTGCCAAATGAAAAGTGGTTTCATTTAACTATGATTTAATTCATTGTCAGTTATTCAAATTAGTTAACTATTTTAACGATGGATATTGTAATTATAGGTGTGTCGCCGCATACAGAGCAGGCAGCCCAGTACTACATGAAGAGACGTGTGTCTCTTCATGTAGGGGTTCCCAGGACAAATCCTATCATATTGTGGTCAGCTTAAGGACTTAAAATGTCTAGTTTTGAGAAAAGCACTAAGAAAAAACATGCCAGTCTAACACTCGCCATAAATAAAGAGAATGACCAGGAGCAACTTTCGAAACAAGCAAACAGGATGTTTCTTTACTTGCAAATGCACCAATGAAAGAATGACAAGTGCATGCGATAATTTATCTTTAATCTCTTGAGGTCAGATATGAAGTAGAGCTGAACAAGATAACAAAGAACTACTCGAGGCCATGAAAGTCTTGCCTACACACTAGCATCTTCGAAGCGGAAAAAAAAAACAAAAAACCAAAGAAAGACTGACCTGGCTGCTCTGTGGGCTGGACGGGTCATATGACGGCACGTAGCTCTTGAGGGGATCAGCAGGGTTGAGGTGGGGTGGGTAGCGGATGGTGGTGTGCGAGAAGTAGGGTGACGGCGCCGGGGGCAAGATAGCCGAGGCCGAGAACTGCAGGGGTGAGTGCGGAGGGGGGCTCCTCGTCGATATAACTGCAACAGAGAGACAGACAGAAGAGTCGAGAGGAAGATAAAGATTGAGCGTTAAGATAAAGTGATCATCATTGATCTGAGGGGGTAAATTAAGTATCGACATAGATTTTTTGACTGTGTTTATGAGGAAAAAGTGGATTAAAGCTCCAGATTTAGCAAGAGAGTCGGTGTTCAAAGTCACCAGTAACTCACCACTGTGTCCTACACCTGTTAGGCCTGGGTGATGAGGCTGAGGGAAAGTGCTGAGTCGAGGCGAGGAGTCCTGCGGGGAGGTGGGGCTGAACAGCGGCTTCTCTGGCTTCTTCATAGTAGGAGAAGACATGTCTGCTAGTGGAGAAAACACACACAAGCACGCACAAACACATAAAGGTCAGATAAATGTGTACATGTCTTGCTCAGCATTCAAACTCGTAAAAGTTATAAAAGTCTTTGATCGTTTCCTTGGGCAAATGGAATGGGAGAAACGTAGACTTCTTACAGGGAAATGAAACAAAATGACTTCGAGGGTGCACAAAAATAACATCGCAAGGTTTTCTAAGCATAACTTCAGGTGTGTTGCTGAAAATTAATCAAAACATTTCCCTACAGCTTCCACTAATGCTTCCATTTCTCATGAATGAAAGGAATTAAGTGCCAAAACTGAATTACGGTTGAAATTAAGCAGAATTTGATCTGTGTGGGATTAGTATTACCAAGGGCCCCCTGTCTTTGGTAAATGCAGTAGACAATGGGAAATGTATTTTGCAAATTACAGACATTGCATGGGGTCAAAATCACTTATAATCTCTGAATCATTACAAATCACTGGACATGCTCGAGAAAGATGAGTCCTGTGAAAATTCGGCTTTTGTCATGTCTGAGCAGACAATTAAATCCAGCGAGCTGATGCACAGTTGTAGAGCAGCCGGTCGTTCAAATAGGATTTAAGAATTTCAAGACCCTCACGTAATCTTAAACAGAACATTACACTGTAACATCTGCTCGCCTCGGCCTTACACGGTGTCTGACAAGCGACTGTAATTCCCCATAAATAATCCTGAAGGCTCAGCAGAAGACATGAAATTTATTTAGAACATTTGTGTAGTTCCATAAACTCTATAGTATGCGCACAAACTCTTACTAGTTGTTCATTATTGTTGCTCTGCACTTTCATGAGCAATGTTCTGCTGTTGCAGTGCTGCAGTTTTCAATTTTCCATGGTGAGACCCAGTGTCTGAAGGGAACGTGATAAGAACTAGATGCGGGAGGCACTGGCCTATGTCTGCTCGGGATTCTTCTATGAACATTCATCAAGTGCTTTTCTGCTCTGTCCCAGATTCTCGGGGTGTATAACTTTTAAATCATCCATCTCTTTCCCCCAAAATGAGCCGTATACACCCTGTTGTTGAGGCATTTTCATAGTATTAACCATCCTTCCCTCCCTCTCCCCATTGGGGAAGGATCCACCCGAGTCACGGGAAGAATCACTCATCACCCGAGAAAGAGAACGACAAAGGTGGCTGGAATTCAGGGGGATTTCCCAGTCTGAGGTTGCAAGAGGATACAGGCTTAAGTGCTTTCATTTTTGTGTCAGAGGCAGAAATACCTCTGAGAAGATTGATATCACTGCTTAATGTTTCCATGTAAAAATAGAAAATTTCGGCAGTGGGGGCATTCAGCTTCGCCTCTCTTCTGCTAATTAAATCCATGAGAGAATGGACTGCCTCGGGAAATTAAACTGGACAATTAATTACCAGAAATTAAACACTTTAAATAGTTTAAATAAAGTGTTTTTTTGCATTTAGACAAACTAGTTGCCTTTCAGTATCTGGTATATTTTGTATTAAATGAACGGTGAACCTTGAAAACCGTGAAAAAAATCATTGTAAAAAAAAAAAAAAACACAGAAGAAACTATTCCTTCCTCTACAGGGTTAGGTTTTGTCGAATGACAACCATGTGCAAGAAATGACCGCTTGGCACTTGGGAGGCCTCATATGGGTTTAATATCACCCCTCTTCTAATTTATTCTCTCCTGACAGAATAATAGCTGTCTTTGGAGAGTTTCCTACCCACTGCTTTCCCTTTCTCCTCGCCCAAAGTGTCTAAGTTTACGCTGAGCAATACTCCCAGGCCATGTGCAAAGGGACAGGCTGAAATTTCATGTACCCACATTGGCCTGTGGTTGAATCCCACCAGTGCTGTGTCTCTTGTGTATAATCTGGTGTTTTCCTCTCTCAGCCTTCATACTTATTATATTAAAACAAAATAAAAGAGGACTGGGGGGGAAAAAAGAAAAACGAAATAAATTGTTTTGTCTGTCACAGTCTAACAAAACGTTTCCTTCCACGTCTGTGGGTAAAATCCAGAGGTAGTGCGGGCAGCAGAGTGTGGAAAGAAGTCAGCAGAGGGTGAGAATGATCCGGAAACACGGGACAGTGAGGCCTTAATTAAAAGGGTGATGGGCTCTGCTCTGCACCGGGAGACAACGTAATGAGACAAGCAAGCTGTCCCGTGAGGATCTCGCTTTCTCTCATGCACAGACACAAGCATGCAAGACATCAGTGCTTGTTTCTCGGATTCGCACACCTCTACCTTTTCTTTTTTCCCCTGGATCCAATAAGCCCTGTGAATGAGCTCCATAGCTGAGCTTTATTTCTTTATTCTCTTCTGACCACTCCTGTACCTTTTAAAGTTGGCACATGATCATGAAAACTCTACAGATGGGGAATTTCTCTCAAGTTCTGCCAAGATGTATAGCCTGATTTCCTGATGACATTTAATCTGACGCATTTGTCCTGCAGGTTTATAAACAGGAACTTCTCCATAACAGTCACCCACAAGGTGTTTCAGCTATCTGTATATAGATACACCCAACATTTGAAAACGTACAACTTGCTCTTGTATGAAAGCAAAACTTGCATTTTTATCAGTAATGTAACCAGAGTGTTGTCACTTTTTAGATACAAAGCTGTGAATTTCATCTGGAACAGTTTGTTCTCATAACAGATACTTTGTATCACGCAATCCAATGTTTCCTTTGTGTAAGCTACAGGTGTGAGAGAATACACATTTACATTCAGGCAGCAGTTCAAATGGGTTTAAACATTTATATGACTGCCAGTGCCTGGGGCTATCTCTGTCATGGTATGTATTTTAAGAGGGTTGAACAGGTTCCTCTGCAGAGAAACCAGATGCAGTTCATCCGCAATGAAATGGGTGGCGGCAGTGATGTACAGTAGCTTATGACAAGGCTGAGAGTTAAGGAGAGTTCAGCTGCTCTTAAAAAACAATGTGAGGTGTTCACTTTGATCACATCTATTTGCATGCGATGAGGATGAAATGAGTAATGCTCTCGCATCCTTCATTAAATCCTGTCAATGTGCTGTCATGCATCGTTAAGCTGTGCGAGACTGTGGCAGTACAGGGCCGTTCCTGACTCTGAATGTTTGTGTAACTGTATGAATGAGATGGAGGGTGTTACTGACAAAATGCACCCATGCCTGACAAACCTCTCATAGGTAAATAAAGGCGGTCAAATAAAAACAGGAAAATCACCTCCTTCTCTATCGTGCCAGTTTGCCCGACTGCTAGCCGGTGAGCTGGGTGACGAGTAGAAGTCAGGTCCTGTTGGGCTGGTGTCCATGTTCTCGTCCATGCTGACGGTTTTGGGCCTTTTGCTGTGGGACATGGAGAAGCTTATGGTTTAGCACTGCCAGTCTTTTGGGTATCATGACTTTAAGGTCGCAAGACGGTGTCTGTACAGATTTGGGGCAATTGAGAGTGGATGTTTGGCACAGATTAACTTGCATTGTGTAAAGGTTTATTAAAGGACTAGTCTGATACGTTTATGTGTTTTTGTGCGTTTTGAAGATTGATACCACCAGTTAGCCTGGCTATGTAAAGATATCCACACACAATTTTGTACTTTTGTACTAAACAAACAAGATATAAAATGTAAACTAGGCAGATTATTATTTTTTTTACCTTTGAGCAGAGCCAGACTAGCTGTATCCTCCTGTTTCCAGTCTTTAGGCTAAACTAAGCTAACTATATAATGGCTACAGACATGAAAGTGGTATCCATCTTCTCATCTTAACTCTTGTCAAGAAAGCAAATAAGCTTATTTCACCCAAATCAGTTCCCTTAAAAAATTAAGATAACATCTATTTCAGCTCAATATAAATATAAAGAGATATCTCTGCACTATCCTTGACTGAACCTCACTGAGATATTTCTTCATTAATAATATCATAAAAGAATACAATGTCACTGCTACGGTATTATTGTAGAAGAGCTTGTTTTGTTGCTGGAACTTCCACTCACCTGCCGGGAGGGGAGGACAAGGAGCGATGCAGCCCCACGCTGGAGTTCAGGTCGTGATAGTAGGGTTGGCTGGGCATGTCGGCCATGGAGAAGTTTACTGCTGCACCGTGGGTGATGGGCACTGTAGAGGACACAGAGAAAACAAAGAGAGAGAGTTAGGCTGTAATCACTGCAAAGGAAGAGTTCAATGTCAGCAGTGTTGCCAGACTGAGCACTGTGTATTTCCCCATCTTTCCATCTAGAGACGCACAATTAATTGAACAATAGCTTGACTGACTGTTATTGACGCTTTGTGTGCAGCGGCCCTGTGTATCAAATTAAGCGCTCCCTATTCACGGGTTAACTGTTTGACCATCACAGGCATTTCTGCTGAGCAATCTGATTAACAAGTAACTGCTTCCCAAAGTGGTTGTGGCTGCAGGTACAAACATTTTACTGCAGCTGCATTTTCTATGTATTGATGAATCTCTATTGTATTATTATTATTAGTAGTAGTATTATTACCATTATTATTATTATTATTATTATTATATTTATTATTATTATTACTAGTAGTAGTAGTAGCAGTGGTATTAGTATTATTATTATTATTACAGAGTTGTTTTTTTTAATGTGGCACTAAGAAGACAGAATATACAGCAGTAAAACAATTAATCTGCCGATTATTCTCTAGATTAATCGATTAATCGTTTAGTCTATAAAAATGTCAAGTCCAAGGTGATTTCTTTAAATGTCAGTCCAAAACTCAAAGATATTCAGTTTAATCTGCTAATCTGCTGATTAATTGATCATCAAAATAGATGATCTCTCTGTTTATTGACTAATCCTTGGAGCTCTAGTGTATTTTATTGCTAAATGTTTTATCTAGCAACAAAAGTAGGCAATTTTTTTTATTAATTTAAATTAGAATAATTTGTGATGCATCAAAAGTTGGATGAGCTCGGCATCTCGAGGAAATCTCAGAACAGATTCTTGAAACCAAATTCACCATCATTAACATTTTCTTCCCTTCCCTACGGTGTAGTATAATACTCAGCAGTCTCCCAGCATAGTGATTTACAGTGGAAAACGTGTTGTTTTTCTCACTGCGGTCAAGGTGAGGGATATTGTTTCAAGGGAGGCCGGGCCAGTGTTTACAGAACAAAAGGAGTTTGCCACCCATCCTCACTCTCTCTCTCTCTCTCTCTCTCTCTCTCTCTCTCTTCTGTCTCTCTATGTCTCCCTCTCCCTTTACTGTGTGGCCGTGAGGCAGCCTGCAGCTCGAGCGGTTGGTTGGTTTGGAGTCGATGAGAGGATGGAGTGTGTGGCGCCGTCTGTTGTGGTCTGAGGTTCACCACTGGCACGATCCCTCCGCCAGCCTCCGCCCTGGCAGCCCACTGTAGCCCTGGCAAAGGCCCCTACCCGCTGCTACCCATACAGAGCTGTCTGTGGAGGAATGCATCCGGCCCGAGGACGCTGAATACAACACCATTGTTTTGGGTTTTTTTTCATTCATGGCTGAGAATACCCCCCAACCATCTCTCCATGTGCTGGTTTCTCTCTTTCGTTCTTTCTCTCTTCTTGGCTCGGTGCAATAATTGTGATCCCACTTGGCTGCCCTGCCCGTCATCTCATTTAATAATCTGGGCTTTGACTTTTAAGATAAAAAAAAAAAACTGTAAATGAAACAATGATGCTGCATATCATTTGCCACACAGTGATTCTTCCAGCAGATTATTTCCTCTTCCTCTGTATACGAAGGTAAGAGTAAGTGTGCCCAAATTTTTTTGTTGACAAAATATTTTTACACTTGCAGCCGAGGCTCCTGTTGCATTAATGAGCGTCCTCGTCGAAATGCTGGATTGCAAGTCAGCCTTGAACTCTGCAGCTTCCTTTGATGGACTTCAAAGAATGTCTCAACAGCCTGGAGAGTTGGGAGAGAAGCGCGATGACGGACGAGCGGCTGCTTAGATATCTTCCCAGGGAGTGACCGGCTGAGTGAGTGACAATTCCTGTGTGTCCGTCGACCTTTTTAAAATTCCAGCTCGACTTCAGTCGGCTTTAGTGAAACCGGGGCTCGGTCACATGAGAGCAAACACGCCAGCGCAGCGGCCATCTGGTCAGGGGGCAAATTAAACACTAAACAAAAACACAGCCTTTCAAAGGATGTTCAGTCTCTGAGCATCGAAACGAGTGGCTTCTGCCTTTCAAAGCATGATGTATGAGAGAGTGAAGACAACCTGGTCCATGCTCCTACATCACAAACACTTTGATACAGCAGGTAAATAGAAACCAAGGTCAGCTTTATACTATCTGTTGTTCTCAATCCACTCACATGTTAATGACCAAAGCAATTTGAGAGTTTGACAACATTGGTTTTTGACAGTTTTGAGGATTTTATATTTGAAAGTGTGACTTTAAACAGTACATTTTAAACCTTTATATTCTTAATATATTGTATGTCTATTACATCTGGAGTATATGTAACGAAAGTAATTTCCCCCGGGATTAATAATGTATTTCTGATTCTGATCAAATAAAGATTTAAAACCTGTTTAGGGGAATTCAAATCTTTATTTTAGTAGTTGGAAGTTGTAAATAACAAAGGTAATTCATGGCTGATTTACAGTTCTGCTTTCTCTAAGGCTTTAAGGTTGCAACTAACAGTTATTTTCATTATCGATTTATTAGTCATTTATTTTCTTGATTAATTGTTTGGTGTATAAAATGTGGTGCAAGTGGTGAATTTTTTTATACAAACATATTCCAGCTGTATGTTTTGTCCAACCAACTGTCCAAATGCCTAATATATTCAGTTTACTATCACATAAGACAAGAATAACGCTAAAATCCTCACATTAGATAAGCGGGAAATGGCATTTTTGTGACTTGATTAATGATTAATCAATTGTTAAACTAATTGCACATTCATTTTCTACCAATCAATTCATTGTTTGTCCTCCACATCACTTTAATAATTAAACAGTACTGTGTTTATTTATTATTTTAGCGACATTGATTTATTGGTTTGGACTTAGTTTAAACCCCCTCTAAATCCAGTTCAGACTTTGATGTGAGCTGTACTTAAATGTTCCTGACTGCAGCACTGAAGAAGAACTGCACACCACTCTGACTCCAACCAACAACCCAAAGACAGCATATGTTTCTTTTAAACACAGGTTGTTTAGGTGACTGGAGTTTTGCACCTCAGGCACGTTCCAGAACTACAGCATCAGCTCAGAGGCAGTGCGGGTAAACAGGGTGCCTTCGGCTATCCGGGGCAAGAGGACTCCTGGTAGAACAACTGTCTAGGGCTCTTGAGTAGGGCAGACATGTCTATACAGATGCACGTAGGCTCATACAGACGGCTGTGCAGTTAAATGTTCTCTTATTGCAAAACAGACTGGCCTAACTGGATTTACCATACTATGTCTGCATGGTGGATTTCAGTGAATCAAAAGAGGTTTGGATTTGAAGAAAAGCTGTGAAAGTAAATCCACATGTGTTCTTACAAATCAAAGAATCAGTTCAAGGAATAAAACATGAGACATAAAAAGTCAATAAAAAACAAATACTTACATTTTCATATAAACAGAGACAACTTTCTGTTTATATGAAAACACTTAAATACATCAGCCGGAGCAAAACCTGAGGACACAATTAAAGTCTGCATACCCACACAACTGTTAACAGTTAAATGACCTGATTAGACCTCTTCTCATGGCTGTGTGTGTGTGTGTGTGTTTAAACTGTGATTGATTGACATCTCCCTGACTAATACCAACTGGGTTGCAGTTGTTATTACAGGGAAAACTTGCACCTTCAAGATGGTTTAGCAAGAACGGGCACTTTGGTGTACTCGTGTGATTCCCAGCATAGCTCCGCCCAGCGCCAACCTGAGCAGAGGTCTAATCAGTGATAAGTGAAAGAATAACTGAAAACACCTGCAGGGTGTGAAGGGTGTTAACAAGTACAAAAACAATAGAGGGCTATGTACTTACTTCTGGACACCCGCACCAGTTCTGTAACACTGAAGACTCCTGATTTGATGAAGCTGTCTTCCAAATAGACTGTTGACACAGGGACACAAAGAAAATCATCATTACTGTCGTGCTTGTTATTTATTAAATACGTTCATCCCAGTTCAAATATAGACAGAATTAGAGTTTATTTGCACTCTATACCACACGTTTCTTCAAATGTGAAATCAATTCGATACAATTCACGATTCAGGGTTCACAATATGATTTCTTTTTTTAACAAAATGAGATTGAAGACAAATTATGACTGAAAAAGATTCCTATTTCTCAGATAAAAATCTACAAAATGTATTTTCTCTTGTATTTGTTTTAAAGAAATTAAAGAATCATTTTGTGTTTTTGCAGTAGGGTATAAACTGTGCAAAACAATTACTATTTCCTTTTCTCTGTAAAAGTGAAACTGAACATATAAATGGCCTCATGTCTTGTCTGTTATTACATTTTTAATTTTCTGACTGAGGGAAGCCAAAAAGCTGCCACCAGTCTTCACCTGCTGGCCCCATGTCTTTGGGCCTTCATACAACTGCTGAAGTGAGTGACGTAGGACATCAAACACCCAAAAATTATATGTAAAAAAAATTTAAAAAAGAGCATTAATCAGTGCCTGTTTCCTTTTTTATCATGTATTTTTCACACTTGTCTTCCTGTAGACTGCTGACTTTAAAATTGGTGTACTATGAACCTTTGTTTTCAGTTGAAGCGTTAAAACAGCACCAACCCCTTCTGTGCAGTACAGTAAAGAGTGACAGGACAGGTGTGTGAGGAGGAGGGACAGACATGCACACTCCTGCTGCTGTGAGTACAACAAACAAGCCTGTGCTGAACCGCAGACAGTGCCCAATTGATCAAATACAGAAGTAAAACTTAATAACTGCCAATACTGATACTGTTATACTAAGATACAGCGATAAATGTCACATTAAAGAGTAATTTACTGTGGCATTGATACTAAAGACGATTCTGAAAATGTGAGATTGCTTCACTCCTTCCAAAGTAAATAAACTGTTTTAAGGCTTGGAATTATGAAACTGGTTGTTACAGCAGAGCCAGATTTTTACTCCCGTTTTCAGAAAACTATTTTTAAACACAACAAATGATAGTTATAATGTATATTTTTTGGCAGTGTTGAAGCATTTGCTCCGTTCTGTATGACCTGCCCAGGACTCAACACCACTCAGAAGCTGTCAGTCAAGTAAAACAACCAGACAAGTTATTGACACCCAAATGACTCCGGCTCGGCTTTGATGCAGTGCCAAGGGCACTCAGGCCGTGCCAGACAGATAGGCGGGCGGCTCGATTGGCACCTACAAAGCCTAATGTCTCCAGTGAGCCAACGGCTTTTGCGGGGGAACCGTGCCACTGCAGAGGGCCTCCAAGGCCTGAGTCATTGGCTCGCTAGCATGTTTTCCTTGGCACATGTATCGGCAGAACCTGCTCTTGAGGTAGAAAACTAATTATACTTCTCAAACTATTTTCATTCCAACATTGTGACGACACAGCACAGGTCAGTCCAGGGGAACAACACACACTGTCAGAGAATATTCTCTACAGCTCGGCTTTGCTGGCTCACCTTGACACACACTCAGCCACCAGCCAAAGGTGCAATCTGCCGTTACATTTTCACTCCAAATCTTTAGTGTCTGGCTCTGTTTTGTTTTTTTGTACACTGTGTTTGATGTCGCCACCGGGATGATGACAATTCAAATTTAATGATCCAATCAAATTTTATTCTTCATCAGTCCATGCAATGTTGAAAACTGTGGCCTCAGTCAGTGGGAAAAAATATACAAATTTTATTTACAGCTAGAGTGTCGGTTTGGTTGATCTTGTTTGTATTGATGGTGGCTTTTTATGCAGTTCAAATCACATTCTCATGTTTTTGTTGCCGTTGACACTGGATCACATGGGAAAAATGACAGTACATTTTGTTTGTTTTTAACAGAAGGCTTTGCTATTTTGCTTGCAAGTCACTGAGTTTACAGCAGATCAACACTGTTTAAACTAGGTAAGTTATGGCGTACATAGGCCACTGTTCAGTGGAGCGAGCTGCTGAGGAACAATAGAGCGATGACAGGAGGGAGGAGGGAGGATGACTGCTGCTGTACATACCTGGAAGAGGGTTCTTGCCTGGCTCATTGTTACTGGGACTTCCTGACTGCTGCGAGTCTGCAAACACACAGAGAGATGGGAGTGGGGCTTAGCATAGCACGAGGACAACAACATACCATCTTACTGAGACAAGGTTGTCTTGTCAGTATTGATTATGTCCAGCAAATATAACCCGGTGACTTGGTGCAAACATTGCATCCTGTAACTTATAATAAAAAATAGGTCAATTAGAACTTTTACTTTATTTATTGGCACTCTTATTTGAAGTTTGTGTCACACCTTTGCCCTACCACAAACTCACTGAGCTCAAATTTAAAATGAAGAAATAACTACTGTCAAGACTCAACAAGACAAAGTGCATTTCAACACTTGCTGGGTGCCTAAATGTTTTTTCTGTATCTACCAGTCAAGGAGAGCACACCCGCTGTACATTAAACAAGACAGTTTTGTTTGAACAGCATTATCATTAATGGGAGGGCAAACTGAAGAAAAAAGCTGTGTCTGACACAGGATAGCCTAAAAGTTTTTTTACCAGCAGACCTCTGGCTAATTTTTCAAAGGGGGCTGGGGGAGTGCTAGGAGGGGATACAGAACGAGTTCGGTCCTACTGTGCGAGGTACGAGCACATAACAAAACGTGGAGAGAAGACAGGAGGGGCGGGGAAAATACAAGGAAACATGTGTGGAATTCTTTCCACCAGCTACGGTGCGCAGGCTTTGGTATGAGATGTCCCGGACTGACGTCTTTTACCATGAAGCCTTGCTGGGAGGGAACCTATCATTCCTCAGCAGTTCTTGCTCTGGTTGATCACTGACAGGCACAGGTGTCTTTTTGTGATGTTGTGAAACAGGCAAATTAACTGTATAAATCACAGAACGTTCCATGTTAGAAAGAAACACAGCCGACTGAACATAGCGAGGCCTTGGGACCGCACGTGGAGCAGCACTGAACGGCTGCCATGCCAAACAGTGAACAGTGAGCATTTGAGTGGACCCCTATTATGACTCAAAGTGGCCCAAGCCCACACATGCCCTGAGACAGAGAGGGCCCAATGAGAACCAGCAGGGAGATTATTATCTACGTCTTTAACTATGAGAGAGACGAGACGCTAAAGACAGTGAACTCAGATACCCTCGGCTTGCAACAACACCCCTTTTCCTGCCATAGCTCTCATGAGCTGTGTTACAGAGGCAACGGAGAGAGAAGGAAGGAGAGGGGGGTGGACAAGAAAGAAGAAAAAAAGTTGAAAGATTTATCCCTTTCTTGTTCTCTCTCTGTGTCCCTCTCCCTCTCTCTCTCTCTCTCTCTCTCTCGTTCCCCCTCTCCTAAATTTGACTATTAAACAGCACTGCAAAAACAGAATGTTCTTGGCCGAAGCTCAACAATGACAAAGTAGGGAGGGAACAGGACCATACGTTAAGAAGAAAAAAAATCCCCTCTTTCCAGTCTTCTTAGCCCTAAAAATGTGCAAGTAACGTACAAGTTATGGTCTCACAATATACCTGTGTTCTGCTGCCTTAAATCGTAAAAACAAGTTGCCTTATGATTTCTAATCATGTCCTTCAGGGATTTTTCATGTGCACACGCATACCACAGTTTTAAGATGTTAATCTTTAAAGCAGGTAGGGCTGTAACTAATGATTATTTTCATTGTCGATTCATTCATGAAATTCAAGCCTTTATGCCTCAAGAATCACAGAGGTTTCCCTCATTTGCAATGATGTCGACATACCCAGAAATATGCAGTTAAAAATTTCAAAAGAGGAAAATACTGTGTGAAAACAATTGCGCACTGAGGTGAAGTGTGTGTCTAAAAACTGGCAGAAATTAATCAAATATGCTCATCACAATTTCCCAGAGTCCAAGGTGACATTGTCAAATGGTTTGTTTTGTCAGATCAACAATCCAAAACCCAAAATATATTAAAATGACAATGATATAAACAGAGAACATCTGCAAATCTTCACATTCGAAAAGCTGGAGGAATCAAATGATTAGCATTTGTCTTTGATAAACCACTTAACCAATTATTAAAATTATTGTAGATTAAGTTTCTGTTAATTATTTCAATACTACAATCTGTCTTCCATTTCAAGTTGTACACAAGTTGTTGGCCTCAGCAAACTGCAAGAATCATTTGCCTTGGCTTGCACCAATAAGCAGTGAGTCTCTAAAGTTGCCCCATACACACACACACACACACACACACACACACACACACACACACACACACACACACACACACACACACACACACACAAATATTCACACACACTGTAAAGCAGCCTTTGTGGGCAAGCGGAGGTTTGTGTGGATTTGGCACAGCACACGTCCATAAAGTGATTGCAGGGAGCTCAGTGGCCTTGTCTCCCTGTCTTCTCCCACCCCCCATGCCACTTTCAGAGTCATCCATCAGTCTAGTTACAACTGCCAACTCCACGCTCGCACCCTGAGAACTGCTGAGAGGGAAAGAAACGGGCAAGGGGGAGAGAAAGGAGCACCAGAGAGTAGTGAGGAGGAAAGCGCTGAAAAGGTGGTGAGGGGAGAAAAGGAGCAAGGAGGTGGAGGCGGGAGAGGTGCGCCGGTTCGTTTAAATCGGATCAGAGTTTTGTGTTTTTGTTTTTTCTTTCCCTTCTTCGAGGGCTGAACAGGCAACCATGACAAAAAGAGCAGATGGTGGTGGCAATTAGAGATCCCAGGCAGCATCTTCCAGCATGAGGCCCCACTGTAGCACCAGGAGAGACCACCTGGATGACTCAAGGTGGGATGCAAGCATATGGCGCATCTGCCAGGCCTGCACCGGAGCTGGAAACACCTCCCCTGTTGCATTACATTTTACCTTTGACCCAAGAAGGGCAGCTTCATGCTCCTTCGTCTTCTTTCAGGGTGATTATATTGTTTAGAACAGTGCTTGCACATTTGTCAGGCCGTGAGTGTGCTGATTATATCTACTGAACACTTGACTTTACATCTCATCACTTTCGTCCCTCAACAGGTATTTAAATGAAGCAGTAATTTTAAATCACAGGAGATAATTCTGCATTACAAAGTGCAAATAAATTGGCCGTGTTTTTTTTTTTAAAAAGGCAGCTGAAATAAAGTAAAAGAGTTCTGGTATCTGTATCTAAAAGGTGTCCTGTGCAGAAGCCCAGCCAATCCGATAGTCTTCAAATAAACAGTAGTGTAACCTGTAAATAAACAGTTGCGGTCGAGGAGGCTGGGCTTTGCCCTGGGAGCTTGGCAGGGCTCGATCACAGGGCCAGACACCACACACACACCCTCTAACACACACATACACACAAACACACACGTACACACACGGCCCTTTTCCAAAAACAACATTTCTTGGCACCCTCCATCCCGGCCACTTGTTTAAATAAACAAACCGGTTCATGAAGGAAGTGAAAAAACAGTACCGCGTATGAATCAGATTATCTGCTGTTACTCAGCAAAAAAAAAAAAAAAAAAAGCAAGGGAAAAAAGTAGCAGAGGGGGCTTGTGGGTATTTTGGATGTGTCCACGAGTTCTTACACCTTCTTGTCCGGTGGGATACTTATCATACCACTGTAACGATTAGGGCAATTAGGGGTAATGGCAACAGAAATCTGGCTCTGCAAGAAAGTTTCTCAGTGCTTGTGAGGTTTCTCCACGCCCAAGTGTGTTACTCGCCTGGATTTTATAATCACTAAAACACTTTCCCTAACCCACCCTCTCAGCTTTTGGCATGATACCCACTGTTCCCACTAAATCGTGGAACACACATGCACATACGCACACAGTGTGGATTAAATTAGCCACATAGTTTGGGAAACTTTCTCTCTCTTTTTTTTTTTTGACAATGGCGGTGTACGTTCTTAGCCCGCAAACACTTGCAGACACGTACAGATATCCTCTACAAAAAACAGTGCGCACGCGCGACACGCACACCCTGCAGATGCATACCGCTGTCGACATTTCAGGAGGAGAAGCCTGTCTGGCAGCCATTTTATGCCGAGCGGGGTTCTGTGCACATGTATAGCACTCTGGCTGCCAGAGGCATGGGTCCCGAGCCAAGACGCATTTCAGCAGCCTGGGGAGGCGAGGGGAGGGGAGTGTGGAGGAGAGGTGGAGAGGGGTGGACTCCCAGAGAAGTAGGGAAACAGAGAGAGGGAGAGGGGCAGAAAATATCAACCTAATTACGGAGCAGCTCCGATGCGTAATGTTTCGACAATACAGCTGCTCCTGAGTAAATATTTGATGTGGCCGAGAAGACTTTCTGCTCAGTGTCCTCCTGCTTTTCTTTCCTGTTCCGCTGCAGGAGACCTCCAGTTTGTCCTTCCTTGGAAATGCACAGCCGAAATATGTGTGGCGTGGGGTCATGCAAGTCTTGACAGTATGCATAAATGACTGTACATGTGCCGGTATGGAATGTGTGTGTGTGTGTGTGTGTGTGTGTGTGTGTACAATGTCCCGTGTCCTCCTCTGCTCCTGGTTTCTATCATTCACAGCTTCGTCGATGACCTCACACTACTTGGGCTGGCTTCCAACAGCCGGCAGAACCTGCTCTCTTCTCCAAATCTTCCTTTCTTCTCCTCGCTATCTGTCTATCGCTGTCCCTGTGCCTGCAACACTATCCATCCTCTATTGTATCTCTTCATACCCGTCTCTGTGTATATCTACCATTCAGTGTGTAACCGTGAAGATATCTTATCCGATGATAAGTGCACACTATAACTTTTTTCAAATTTCTTGATTTTTTTTCCTCCTCATTTTTTAACACTTGTCTCTTTCTTTCTTTTAATGTCTCCATCTGTGTTGGCACTATCCCCCCTTTGCCGCCTTTTTTTTAATGCCCCTCTCTTCCTCTCTTTCCATCTCTTTGTCTCTCTATCTCTCTCTTCTCTCCCTCCCTCACGCTTTGTTGTCTAAACAAAGTGGCCTTTATCAGGATGAGCCGCAACCCAAACAAGCCAAACAAAAGATATGGGCGAGGAAATCTGCCCGCAAAAGAGGGAGGATCTTATCGTGCCAGCCATTGTGTGCCAGCCTGCCAACTGGCGATGCCCCCCGCCACCGAC